TATTTTTTTATTTTTTATTTTTTTATTTTTTATTCTTATTTTTTTTATTTTTTTAAAGCAGAACTAGACACAATTTTTTAATATTTTAAAATTTTATATTGATAACCCTTATCGTATAGCTATTCAAAAATATTCATTGTACTATTTTACCCTAACTCTTACCTTAGTGCAGGCTGCAATTTTTTTTACTCTAAAATCTTACCTATTTGCTATAAAGGCACTACATAATTGTATAAGTTTAGAGTTTCAATCCTTAATCCGACTATTCGAATTGATCTCTAAATCCAGATAGATTCAGATAACTAGATCAGAGATTTTTACTCGAATTGATCAAAGAACTTGAATAATAAACCTAAGAATGTGCTCAAAACCAGTTTTATATGTAATCTGATGCGGATTCGATCCGGATTTGCCTGTCAAAAATAGGATCGAAACCATACATAGGGGTACTGTTTAAAATTTTCTTTTATTTTTTCTATTTATAGTTTTAATTAAAATTTTTTGATTACTGTAAATTACTTTTTGGAATTATTTTTTTAAAATTAATTTAGCTAGGGTGGTTGGAAAGTTGGCAAGGTGAGCTTTTTTTAGTGGTAAGACTCTCGTCACTATTATCTCGCCAAGCCCACAAATTTGCTCTCCAGCTTGCCAACCACCATAATTCCAGTGTAACGTGTTGTGACAATTAGATCAGTATTTACATACTCTAGTTTTTGATAAAAATAAATACGTATAAAAATATTATAGTTTTGCAACCAAGTTTGTCCACTAATTGATGACAATTTAAGATCTAGTATTCGTTCATCCTTTAAATAATTTTAAGAATTAAAAATCATTACTTGTCTAAAACACGCTTTGAAAAATTAATTTCTTACTTTTTTTTAGGTGTGGGAAATGATAATCGGCGAAAGACTATAATGGATCATAGAAAAAAATAGAATTTAGAAACTTTATGATAATCATGTATGTTGCAGTGTTGTTAGGAAGTTTGTTTTTTAAGTTTATCTATTAAAGACTTCAAAGGACAAAATGATTGTACGTGACTTTCGACTCCTATACTTGGATAGTTTCTATTTAACTTTCATTTGAACCAGACAGATAACGGTGGCGACTGTTTAGTCTTGTGACACGCTCAGGAGACTTAGAAAGCTGATCTGAAATTATGCTAGGTAATTCGCACTTGACATATATTCTAACAATGACATAACGCTAACTAGCTCAAATGTCGTTCTAATGTGCTTAATTAAGATAAAGTATGTGACACAGTCATACCATACCAAATAAGCTCATAATGATGATGTAGTATCCTGTAGACGTTTAACTTTAAATCAAACATAAAAATTCGTAAAATCCATGTCAATACTCTTAAAGCCACTATCTGTTCTTGAAAGTAAAATTTAGTGAATGGACGAGACACAGAATTATGAGCAAAATTCCGTAATACCATGGTATAGGAAACCATCAGCATACTGGATCATATTGCCTCTCTTTTTTTTAACAATTACCTGGAGCCTTTGGCTTGCACCTTCTGTACAATTAAATGTAAAAATAGTGTGCTACCATTATTACAAATCAAGGTCCCCATTTAACGATACTGGCGATGGAGTTGAAGATTGTAATAGCAAAGAAGTTCAGTCTATGGCGTCAAAATTTCTTGCAATGTTAAATTTATGTTCTGCAATCCCTGGTGAGTTGAAATAAACAAATAAGTGTATTGATAATACTATTAACGATAATCTAACATATTTTTATAATTATAGCCATATTTAGAGCAGGTCCATATGGTTCGCTATCAGATCGAAAAGGTCGTCGTATTGTTCTGCTTTTACCCACTATCGGCGCCGTCATAAGTACTATAATTAATATCCTTGTAGGAACGTACTATAAATCTCTTAGTTTATACTTCTTAATTATAAGTCCACTAATTGATGGCATAACTGGAGGTTTTTTTACTCGTTAAAGCAGCGTTTTATGCCTATGCCACAGATTGTACACATATAGAGCGTAGGTAAGTAATTTGTAATAAAGTTAAGGTGATTTAAAATTATTAAGATGTGTATTTACCAATTTTTTGCTTTTTGGAACAATACAAATTTTGTAGGAACATAGTATTTTCTCGATTACAATCTGCGCTATTTATGGGATTCGCGATTGGCCCTTTATTGGGTGGTCTAATTCTTAAGTTTACAGACAGTCTCTTGTCCGGGTTCTATGTCAACCTTACAATATATGTAGCCTTTTGTATATTTGTCATCTTTATTCTGCCAGAATCACTTTCTAAAGAAACTAGTGATAAGAATATTTTATACCAAAAACAAATGAAGGATGCATTAAAAAGGAAAAGTAAGCATTTTATATGGATCTGGCACATAATTGATATGTTTAAATCTTTGCTTTTATTTTTTCCGCGTAAAACTAGAATTCAGAATGATAATTATGCAACAATACAACAATTAAGAGAAGCAGAAAACGTATCTAAAGTGATCAACATGACATTGGCAGGAAAATATTCATTGTTAATATATGCATGTATACAGACTGTTCGTTCAATTGCCTTTATGGGTAGTCAAACTTTATTTTTTTTATATACTGCGAAAAAGTTTAGTTGGACTGCGGTTGAACAAGGATACTTTTTTTTTATGATGGGAGCGATACGATCTATAATTTTATTAGTTGTCATACCATTAGTTGCAAAATATTTTAAGATTGTTAACGATAAAAAGGACGAAATGGGTGATAATGCGCCAACTTCATTAACAGATAATGAAGTTGATGACTTTGATGAGACAAAAATGCGAAGATTGATGAATTTTGAACTTTGGATAACAAGAATTGGTTTATTTACTGAAGGCGTGGCCTATATCGGATACATGTTGGCTTCATCTGGTGCCATATTCGCAACAGGTTAGACAATATTTAGAACTTTGTAAATATTCTTTTTTTTATCTAAATCAAAATAATAACCGATGTCAAATTTTATAGCTATTGCTTTTGCATCTGTCGGTGCAGTAGCGAGTCCATCACTGACATCTTTATACACAAAATATATTCCAGCTTCACAAGTAGGTGAATTGATGGGTGCCCTAAGTTTACTAGATGCAATCTTGCGTGTAGTTGGGCCTACTACTTTTGATCTATTATATAGTGCACTAGTTCTTATTGATCCTCGTTATGTTTGGCCTTGTTTTACGGGGATACTTCTTTTCGGATGTTTATTGACATTTGGAGTTAATCCAAAATTAAAAAGTGGAGAGGTAGAATATACACCTTTACAATAAATATAAAAAGATTCGAAATATGAGCTTTTTCAAATAATTAAAGTTTATTAATCTATTTTTTTTTTGCTGCCGTTAAAAAAAAATTATTTGTATACAGTAATTGAAATGTAAAAAATGTTACGCTGTTACCTCGAGTCGTACTGATATTACGAAGCCGTTCCCGTTGTCTCGTTGCCTCTATATCACGTGACCAAGGCAGTTACGCGTGATACCAGCTGTCGCACAATTTTTGATTGGTCACCACTATTTAAATTAGGTCCATTATACGATTTTTTTACTTTACATACTTTTATTATAATAGTTTCATATTATATCTATTCTTTCTATATAATATACATTTGTGTTATTATTTTGAAAATATAGGATTAATGAAGTGTATAAATAGCCGATTTCTCATCAGAAATCGACAGAGCTTTCCATTTACAATTAATAAGGGCAACCGTGTCTTCATACACGAATAACTCAAATGAGTGCTGCCAAGGGAAAACCTGTCGTCGGGCTTTCAAATATATTTTTTATCCAGTTTGTTACCAGAACGCCATCTTGGGAAAATCTACCATCTGGTTAATCAATTATGTTTGTACAAATATACTGTAATTAAAGCCCGATGATAAATTTTTCTCTAGACGGCACTCTGGAAACAAACTGAATACAAAATATAATTGAAAGCCCGATGACAGGTTTTCCCTTGGGAGCACTCAAATAATTCGTACCGTATCGTCGCAAAATAACGCACGGGGCGTTATTTCGAGACACATTGCTTGAAGAGAGCTAATTATTAATTTAAACGAATGAAAATCATAATTTTTGGTTATTAAAAGTC